GTGGAGCAAGTTCTATAGGGGGGTTCACCCTGCATGGAACAGGTTCTGGGGGGGCTCACACTGTGTGGAGCAAGTTCTATAGGGGGGTTCACCCTGCATGGAACAGGTTCTGGGGGGGCTCACACAGTGTAGACCAAGTTCTATAGGGGGGTTCACCCTGCATGGAACAGGTTCTGGGGGGGCTCACCCTACGTGGAGCAGGTTCTATGAATCTGCATGGGGTCTGGCTGCGGCGGCTCACCCAGTGTGGAGCGGTTCCTGCACACCAGCCAGCAGTGGTATCCAAAGAGAGAGGACAGGCTGACAGAGAACATGGAGGCAGCAAAGAACAGGAACATGATGTGGAACTTGGCCTGGGTGTCGGGTAGGCCGCTCTGTGGGAAGAGACATGCTCAGACGCAGTGTGAAGAGGAAGCAGTTGTTTCACGTTCACACAGACACAAGGCGCCGTGGAAACAGAAACATGCAGACGCATAAACATTGACATGTAAACTGTGCCTCACACACAGCCTACGCAGGACAATGTCTAGCCAGGATGAGACATTTCTTAAAAAGAAGGGAACCTTCCTTGGAGTAAGAAAAGTAAATGCAAAAACTGGGGCTTGGGAATTTATCGTGCTAATGCATAGCATTAATTTTAAAGTCATTATGCATGATTATTTTTGATCTGATTAACACATGCTGCATTTTGATGGGAGAATAATATGAGAAAACCTATAATATAACATTCCATCCTGGATTTAAACAGCGTGAGAGTTTATGTCGTGTTACATAGAATCCCAGACTTCAGAGCGAAAACAAAGATATTCAGTTAGCATCTCACAAGCAGATGTTGCCTGTTAATTTCGCTTTTTAAAAAATTGCCAGATGGAGGAGTCCATAGGATATAAATATTGTAATTTGCAGTATTTGTTTTATTTTACTGAAAGCTTATGCTTTAAAAATCTTAAGATTTTCTCATGTTATTAAGCACACTTTCAGTGGTTGTCCGGCTTCTGTTTTTAGAGCCATTTGCCAAATAGGTTTTAGATTTTAGATCAATCATGCTGTCCGAATTAAATTGTGTGTCAATACGCCTGTTGAGTACTTGCAATTATATGTACATATGATATATGTCTTTTCAATGACTTTTTGAAAGCATTAAAATTCAGCTTGTACTTGCTTGCGAATAGTACTTTGTTGGAAATGAATAATCTATACATCACAAGTTTAGCTACACCATTAAATATTGAGATGTGGGTCATTCTCACAAACTTCAGATTTTTTTTTTTAAGTTACAATGAAATACAGTGTTTGTTTTTCATGTAGAGCAATTGACATTACCTTGTAGCTATATTATATGCCGGTTTTGCTCTGGTTTGATGATTTTTTTTAAATCATTTTCTCCAAATAGGTAGCCAAAAATCAAAGAGCACAAAACTAGATAAAAAGTTTTAAAATCTTTTGACTTTATTGCAGGTACCCCTCAGTAAAAAAATTTGTAAGCTGAATATTTTTGCCAAATTTTTGGTTAGTTTTGTCATTTTTTGTCACGTCCATAACTCTTGTAAATACTTTTGTTTACTACCGAAATAAATGGCAGTTTCACAAAACTGACTAACTACCCTAGAGGCAAAATTTAAACAATGAAGTTGTATAATTTGAGTCTGTCGTCAAACTAATTTTAAAAACAGAAAAAATTGATGTGTTACAGTAATGAGTTTGTTAGAATAACCCATATATTCCCCTTTGTGTTAATTGTTCATACATTTTGATATTCAATGTGTAAATGTGTAAATATTTATGATTATAAGTTTTAATGTTAGGTGAAATTAATTGTGATTAATCACAGAAAAGAGTGTGATTCTTTTTTTTAATCAATTCACAGCCCTAGTAAAAACATTACATTAATTCAATTAGTACCTCATTTCACCTAGTTTCCATAGTCTCGCATGTATACAAATATAAATTAACCTCTTTCTTATACCTACTTGCCAATTATAACTAAAGAATTTTACAGGGAAAAATACCCGATGATAAATTGAGAGGTAATACAGCATTTCTGCGGCCAGAGCAGAGTAATAATCAGTAGTACTAATATGCCATTTTCCATGCAGTATCTCATTAATGATCTCATTACAGATGTCCTGCTGTGATTGTTAAAATGCTGCCGTCTGCTCCCAGCTGTGATGACCCTTAAACACAGCTAAATCAGTAGTACCTGAAATCTATGCAGCATTCCTGAAAAGCTTGAATGAAGAGTAGTAGTAATACTAACCCAGAATTCATGTGTGCATGCGTGGCTGTAACTGGTCTACTATGGGTATAGCATGTCGAACATCATGGTACATGTCACTCATGAAGCACTTTAAGAATACTTTAACTAGATTTTACTCACTTTGAAAGACAGAAATAATCCAAAACTTACGGTCCAGAACTTGATGAAAAATCGTAAGTCGGTAGCGGCGATGAAGAGGCAGTAGAGGAGAGAATACGCCAAGAAAAGCATGAAGAACTTGTAATTGGAGAATCCCACGCAGTTGTTCACCCTGGAAAAATAAATACATCTGAGCACCAGACCTGAGTACGACAGGCAATACCAGATATGATGCTGAATGCAGAATGGACTCTTAGGGACAAGGTGGTCCTTGATGATTACATTTAATTAGCTTATTTGCAGAAGTCCTTCCAGCAGGAACTATACTACCCTGAACTTATGTTACTGCAACCCACTTGGTTCAAAGAGAAAATCCACCAAAACTCTGACAAAATAACATCCCATCCGGTGGTATTTTCCTTTAACAATCTCACCGCAATGTAGTCATGCCTGAGTGTTGATTAATGTTTAGCTGACTACTGCCAGCTGAAGGTAATTATAGCATTTAACTATAATGAGGACTGTGTTAATACATTACGTGGCATTTAATTTCCTATCATATTACTTTTATTTTTTTTTTGCTCATAATTAAGTCATGGATACATGGCAAAGCTCAGCATAAGGCTGCCGTCGTTGGTGAGAATCTGAAGGCTGAGAATGACTGGACCGTGCATCACAGTATCTGTCACTTATTTGCCATGATGCTAAACCGTTTGCTTCATGAAACATGAAACTATAGAAGATGTACAGTAGTAAAAACAACAGAAGAAGGAGACCTACCATGGACAATGGTGATCCATCTTCAAGATGCACCTGTGAAATATTAGTGGTGAGATAACAGAGCCACAGTGGACCTGAAAGATCCATACGGAAGGTCGTGGTATCAGCGTAGGGCGTGCATCGCGTCATACTTATCGCAGACTGAGCAGTGGTGGCATCGATCCGGCTTCACGATCTGACACCGGTCACAGTAACGGACAGCTGAAGGAAGCCCCATGTAAAGAGAGGCACACAGAAATTAATGCCAGCCAGCCCACATCACTAATATGCTAATATGTTAATTTTACAATGGCACATTGATTGGTTTAGTTCAGAAATTTGTACTGCAATAAAAGGCATTTCTGCCATAGGTATTAATAATTCTTCCGATTTTTATTCTTCCGTCCTCCATAGCTGCTTATCCAGCAGAGTGTCAAAGTGAGCCTGGAGTCTATGCCAGGAAAAAGAGGGTACAACACAGCGGATGGGATGTCAGTCCATCTCTGGGCAAACAGTCACACGCAGCAGGCAGTTTAGAGAGTGCAGTTCACATCACCGCATGCTTTTAGACTGCAGGGGGAAACCAGCAAAAATACGGGAAGGAAAAGTCCACAATCAAAGACAGGGGAGGAATCGAACCCATAACCCGAGATGTACGAGGCTACAGTTCCGAACATGGAGCCGCTACACTGATCAATAGTTTTACTATAAATATCATCCTGTACAGGGTATTCCTCTGCCTGCTGTCCTATGCAGCCCCTTACATACGTTTTCACTGCATGCGGCTGATGGATGGATGGATTACTTCCCAACTTCGACAGCCTTGGACTTCAATAACATATATTATCGACTCAAACAAAATGTAGGAACAGGCTCAATATAAGAGCAGTAAAAATGTACCTCCTACCTCCAGACATGGTGCGCGTATAGATGGGCAAATCCTTAGAGATCCTCCTCAGTATCTCCTGCTGGGACTCTGAGCGATCTTCCCGCTCCAGCATCTCTTTGTCTGCAAGCGTCAACTGGAACTGCAGAGGACAATGGACATCATAGAATTCACCAGTAACTCCAAACAAACTCAGCCATTCGTCATTGATGATCATTCATTCACTCACATTGACCATTCAGAAAATGCACAATATTCATTCAGGTTACATGTGATCGCTCTCAAGCAGGGGCGTCAGAGGGGCACAGATACCCTGGCAGATTCAGGGGGCCCAGCACTTTATAGATTTCAAGTTATAGGCTGGGGAAACATTATTCTAGAACATTACTCTACCTCCACCCCCCACCAGCAAATTTGATCACTTTTGAAAGTGGCAACCCAAGGGTTGGGTCCAAGGTGACATTTTGTCAGGAAGAGCAGAGAGTCTGGCCACGCCCCTGCTCTCAAGACACCTGTGAGCAGTACTACGGGAAACTTCTATAGCTGAGCTTGTGCGTTTTCACTTTGCCCTTTCAACTCCCCTTCCCCTCTGGCCAGGAATGCTGATGGGTCGTCAGCACAACCAGATGGCATCTACACACCGAGTTATTTTATAGGCTGTAACTGAAAACTGAAGGCCCGTAATTGTTAGGATGGTAGACAACAACCTACAATGGTTTCAAAATAGAGATATTTCCATTTCTGGAATGCTACAAGTCTCCAGGAGGGTGATTTAAATGTCCTATTATGACAACGAGATCTCATTTAACTTTAATGAATAGCCTATTATAGTTTAAATTTGGTAGTGACTATAATATAATATAATATAACTATTCGGATGTAATGAGGACGTGACTGGTATCACAAACGCCAGAATTCAGCTGGGGACAGAATTAGTCTGTTAATCAGTAGAATAATATTAATGTCATATAATAATATCACCAAAAATTACCAAGGGTTGCAGGGTGTAACACAGCAAGGGAAAGCATTCCTTGTGCAGTTACATCCTACCAGATGCAGTGACCGATGGCTCCGTCCTTCAGCACCTTCTTACCATCTCCCAGAATGAAACATCTAGGAAGATTGTCATGCAAATAACAATACAGTATCCAGCAGCTTCAATCCTCTCTGAACCCCAGTTCTGCCCTGTCTTCATATCCCACTGTAAACTGCTTCTAGCTGGGCGAAGTTCATGTTACCTTCTTTACCTGCTCAGGTCTCACCCTCCCTGCTCTCCCCCCCCCCCAGTGCCTGCCAGTCTTGGTATCTCAGTATCAGTTTACTGTGAAGTAAGAACTTGAAGCCCATTCCTTCAGCTCCATGCACCATGATTCATTTTTATATGGATTTTATAGACAGTTTATTACATAAAGTTCAATGACTCTTATATAAAAAATTATAGCCACTACCTGCCTATATATTTCACAGCAGTCGCTCCATCTTCCATACAGCTTATGCCATAAAGGGTTGTTTATTTTCTTATACAGTATATTTAATTCACACAATTTTTATCTTTTCAATTTCATTTCACTCAGCTATTATCCGTTATCTCTTCAATTTCATTCCACACAGTTACTGTCTAGTGTTTTTTGTTAGTAAGTCACTAAAAGCCTTCTGGACAAAATGTTCGAAATGAAATCATGCAAAATTAAAGCACAACAACATTATGCACGAACAAGAAACAGTATTTATAGATATTTATACTCCCAGATAACATCCTAGATGCAGTTTTATTGGACATGTAGCTTATGTCATCATACTCTGAGTATACTCTGAGCTTATGTCATCATACTCTGAGTATACTCTGAGCTTATGTCATCATACTCTGAGTATACTCTGAGCTTATGTCATCATACTCTGAGTATACTCTGAGCTTATGTCATCATACTCCCAAGAGAACTGAGACCCTTCTTAGGTCCATTTACTGCCAGGTCACGGACCAACATAGAGGTGTATAATGCCACCTACTGTTCTAGAGTGAGGACAGAACAAGGAAACGATTTCCACACAATAATAACAATCACGACAACCACAATAACTGCACGATTGGACGCACGTGAGAAATCAAATGACCACAAAATAACCATTAAGACGCCACGTAAGCTGAAGGACACCCACAGCTCATACAACTTTTACTGCCTGAAGAACAACACAAGAACACCAAAGGCAAGATCATGACATTCAGTCAGTCAGTCAGAGGCAGCATGTAGCCAAATAAAAGCCAGTGTGCCCCAGCTAAAGCCGGAACAAAGCTACGAGCCACATCTCACACACACGTGACAGACCTTTGAGTAGTACAGTACTGTCTCCCCTCCTCTCTGCCGTTTCCCCAGCAGAAATGACCGAATAAGGCTTTTCCTTCCCACCCTATCCTGAGAAGGGAGCAGACAGGTGGATAAACATGCTTTTATGGGACATCTGCCCTCTCACCCACCCCCTCCAGGAACACGACTTCTATACCCCTGCTGTGCTTGCACACAACGGCAGGGAGGTCTCTTTCAATATCCGAGTGATGAGAAAACATGTCCTATCCTGGTACCTGCATAACCATCGGCATAAAGAAGCTGGAGGGATCAGGAGGATTTTTGGACGTACCAGACACACGATTCCTAATATAAAATACAGCCATTTTCAGGCCTGACACAGACCTCCAAAATGAAATGCACAAATATCAAGTAAACAGGAAGGTAAAGGCAAAGGACAGAATGTCCAGACATCCTTGGCACAAATTAATCCTCCACTGAACCCCCCTTACGCCCTTTACCCGAGGGAGTTACAGTAGGTGCATGACATCAGTTCAGAGACAATTTACTTAGTATGAGTAGATGGTTTTTTCCAAAGCAGTGTACTGTTGGGAAAGCAGGGTCAGTCACTCCCTGGATTGGTTGGGGTTAAGGGCCTTGATCCAGCAGTGTACTGTTGGGAAAGCAGGGTCAGTCACTTCCTGGATTGGTTGGGGTTAAGGGCCTTGATCCAGCAGTGTACTGTTGGGAAAGCAGGGTCAGCCTCTCCCTGGATTGATTGGGGTTAAGGGCCTTGATCCAGCAGTGTACTGTTGGGAAAGCAGGGTCAGCCATTCCCTGGATTGATTGCTCTAGAGTCCAACTGCAAAATCATTCTGCTGGCTGAGGGATTTGAACCAGTAACCTTCAGGATTTTTACCCGAGTATGGTCAAGTACGCATATTGGGAAACACCCCTGATCTCAGGCAGATAGTAATTCATCAGGTAGTATAGAAAACCTGTTAGAAAGCCAGCATTCTAGAATCAGGGTTGTCTACCTCCTGGTCCAGACCTCCTGGTGACTCTGTAACCATCTTAAAGCTACAGATGTAGCTACAGTCTGTGACGATACCGATTTCCCGAGCTCCTGCCCCCCAGCACACAGTCACGCACCTCCTTTACCGGCGTCATCGGTTTGGTGAAGATGGTCTGCCAGTAGGCCCAGACGAACATCATGAACAGCACATGATACGTCAGGAGGCAAACGACTGAAACACAAAAAACACATGCAGACGAGTGAACAAACTCTCCTTATTGTATCATAGGTTATAACCACTGGTGTCCCAGAATGTGTTCAGCTATCCCTCTGCATCAGTGTTTCCCAATCCAGTCCTCGGGGACGCGCAGACAGTCCACATTTTTGCTCCCTCCCAGATCCCAACACACCCGTACCAGGTCTTCTGTGTTCTTGATTGGCTGGGAGCAAAAATGTGGACTGTCCAGGGGTTCTCAAGGACTGGGATGGGAAACACTGTTCTATACCTTTTGGGAGGTAACACATACCACTAAATACAGTCAAATATTCACTTGACACCAGTTTTCAACGAGGTAAAAATTATTTATATCAGTACTGCTACTCCCAATAGACAGGCCATACATTTACCCACAATTCCCAGTACAGCCTGTAGACCCGTCCCACCTGACAATACCAGGACATGAGTCGGGCCATCGGTGTCTGCGGTTGATACAGCTGCTTGATTGGCTGCTGAAGCATGAATCAGGTGTTTTCATTTGCAAATGGGTGTGAATGATTGCAGCCTAGATGAGTCAGGATGGGGGAGGGAGAATGTCCACCACATAGGATGGATACGATGAACACTACAGGATGATAGGACTGTGTGGGAATATGACTTCAGCAATGCTATAAAGAAGCTGACTGCTGAAGGAACTCAATATTGTGAGCATAAGTATAATAAACTATTACGGTATTCCAGTAATTTTAAGAATGTGCCCACTATGGGTGGGGCTTTGTAAAATCAATCAGATGGCAAATAATTGTAGTCGTGAATATTAAGGTGTATATTATCATCTAGATTAGCTGGGATCTTTGATCCTCCTTACATTCCTGTTTTATTAATCTACCCTAGTCTTCCACTGAAAACCCGATAGCACAAAAAGGCCATCAATGGAGTACAGATTGGGAGGCTTCCTTACCTCAGCATGTGCAGAGGAAGGGTACCTGGCTAAGTCAGTGGCCGGCTAAATCAGATGACTGAGAAATGCTAAGCACTGACGTACAGGAAGTCTGCTAGAAGTGACAGGAACACAGCATGCCAGACAGGGAGGGAATTGTGCAAGATAATGTTATTACAGGTGCACTGAAATTTATGGATGGCTTACCTTTCTCTCCAGTGTTGTTCATGGATTCTGAAAGTGATTAACAGAACAGTGTCACGTGTTTCTGATTGAGATGTTTGGATTTTCACGTCTTAATCATCCACGTCCTCCTTCACTTGAAAGGAGTAACACCTATTTATTGCCTGTCTGTTTGCAAAAGCAGGGAAGTCATACGGAATACGCTGGAACCATATAACGTATTTTTTTATGTATGTGTGTGCAGAACACTGTGCCAGCTTCATTCAGTTTCCAGTATCTCCCCACTAAAAACGCAGCGGCATTTAGCAAACGAGTAATGCTGACGAGAGACACTGCGCTGCGGAAAGCCCTGAACCGTCACTTTAATCAGCGTGTCATCCTCGAGTGGTATGAATCCAAGCAGATGGTATACAGGAGTGCTTGAACCCTTATTGTCTGTATCCTTAGTATACGTGATGCTGAGGATCACCTGAAATATTCAAGCAAACCGGCTCCAATCTTTGAGGAAATCCCCTAGTAGCACTTACATCGTGTTGGAGACGGCAAAGCAGAGATCACTCAGGTTACCAAGTATGCAGTCAGCTGAGAAGATCAGGCCGATAATCAGCTGCAGACTCAGTCGCTCCTTTGTCTTTCTGATAAAGCCTGACTTAATAAAAGCATGACTTAAAAAAAAGCCTGACTTAATTAAAGCTATCACAGTCATCCCAAACAAAGTCTGCTACACTACAAGCCCACATGCAGACTGCCTCTGTATGTGCAGAGCGAAATATTTTGAGGGAGGAGAATGAAATGTGTTTTGATTTTCTGTCAGTACTCAGACAGCACTGTGACTGACAGTTACCATTTGAAAACCTGCCCTTAAAAATACAAAAAAATAGGTCTAGCCTGCCTAGCTGTGATAAATACTTGCAGAAACATTAATTATGATGTGGCAAAGTAGTTGACCTGCTGGACTAAACACATGGTTACAAAAACAGCAAAACAATCAGAACAATCCTGGATCGGTCCCAGAATACTCTGGGTCAGATCCAGCACATGCAGCCTATTAAATCGTCAGTCAACACGACACAGAAATGAAAGGCTGATAACGCACTGCCGCAAATGACTCTTACAAATCTATGCCAATCTGATCTTTTACAACATTACCTGTTCGAATGACGGAATATCAGGTACAGCTATAAAATCAAATCCAGAATTAGCATGGTTGAAAAATTACTTTAATATAGCACAGTTCTAGAATCCTTTAAAGATTTCCCATTGGCTGATGCGAAGGACAGCATGGTAACTGTGACAACACTGGAGCATGGCCATTGAACATGGGTCTGTCAGCCTGCGATGCAATAAGGGAAATGACCAGATTTCCACAGCAGATGTGTCTTGGCTGTAGCTCACCCTGCCTGGAGCATATTGCATGTTCTCTCATGAGCCACTGAGCGCGTTTTGGAGTGCAGTTCAAATTGAAATCGCTCCCCTCTGGCTCATCAACAAAGGGCAGTTACAACACCTGACACAACCCTCACGCAGCAGCCAGAGAGACTCCATCTTGTCCTCATCTAGCACAAAAAAAAGGAGATTCCATCCAGTGATCCAGCATGCGCTCAGGGTCTGTCCTGCTTCTCTGTTTATTTTAAAGCTTATGCGTAAGGAATGGTGTTTAGTATTATAATTCTCAAATTATCCTGGGGGTATCCATTTTATTTTTTTTTAAAAAAAGCATTTAAACTACTGATTGAGTAAATATATACAAATTAAAAAGTGACCAACATGTTAGTGAAAAATTCTTAATGTCTGCCTTATTAATGGTATCTGCAACACTGGGGATAACTACTAAGTAAGATGTGGAAAATATAAATTTTCTTGCAGGTTTCAGGCAATATAGAATTTCAATGTTTGGATGGTGATATAGATGGATGTGCCTGACATGCTTGAATTAACACGTTATCATAATCTTGTAGCAGATATTGTGAAATAATGTGTACAAAGGGATGGTGAGCATGCTGGGAGTCTGCTAAATCATTCAGAGACACTTGTGGGAGCCATTGGATTATTTTTGCCGTGATAAAATGTCAAACGCACCTGCTGTGTGGCTACGTCCGTGTCTAACTGACAAACTTCACAGTGTTTACGACCCAAACTTATTTTATGTGTGGGTTTTTACAACTTTAAAATGAGACCAAAAGAGAAAGCAGAAGGTGAATCTGCTCCGATTAAAATTAAACACGCACCATACATAGAACCGCTATAAAATTAAGCACGCACCTTACACAGAAAAGCAAAATGTAGTCGATAGTTCGTTTTAGACCAAAGCAACTACCAATCTCCGAATACTAAAGAACTTGATTACTCATTTTACGTTTCTGCAACTTATTTGCTTTCCATCAATTCCCATTCATTACAAAAAAAAAACCCACTTATTTAACCATCACCCCTAATCTATAAAATGCGATCTCATTAACACGCCCCTTTGTTATAAACAACAAACATGAGATGCTGAAATAATATACATTGAAATTGTCTATCAGTAATTAAAATTATATTTTTAATTGCATTGCTTTGCATTATATGCGCAGCGCTGAGTTTCACTGGTGAATCGTATCCTTACCTATGCAGAGCTGAATAACATAGGCGTAGTAGGACCAAGCCACTATGATGCTGATAAAAAGGACTGGGATCCAGTATAAAACTCTCTGACAGCTTCGTTTAACGCTCCTTGAGCCTGATGGCGCCATCTTTTATTCAAACAACATCAAATCGAGATAAATAAGAAGTTTTTCCCCCTCTTTTCCCCCTGGTGTACCGGGTTTGGTGAGCAGCATCCAGATGGCAGAGCCCGTAGTATTTAGCTGGTGCGCTCCTCCGCGCTTCCGTCCATCGCAGCGGTACCGCCCATTCCCCCAGCGAGCCGCCGTGACGCCTCCTGGCTGCTGCCTGTCGTCTACATGGAGAGCAGCGGAACCACATTTCGTCGGTGCGTCCCGCACAGCTGCGAGGCTCCCGATCGTAGGGAACGAATCTCAATAACGAAACCCAGCAGATTACTGCAGTACTGTTAAGAAATCAGCTCTCCATATTGCTTTGTATCAAACACAAACACGACTGGAAACACTCTGTCTATGGGATTAGGGTTTCCGGTCCGGATAATACTTAGGTTATTATCCGCTTAATTAAAGTAATAATTCTGGATAGTAGTCCACCTCATCTGCTATCATGAGAAAATGGTCTCAGATATTTTAGATATATATTATAATACTCTATCTATTCACCCGATATGAGAATCACTGTTCATTAGGGGGCAGGCTCCACGCTCTCAAGCAGAATTCCTTTTTAAATAATATTGTTGTGTAGGTATCTTGGAAATACTAAGCATGATGTTATTTGTTTAACGGCTGTACAATGTGTAATACAGTGATGCATATAGTGATAAGATAATGTAATTTTAACCAAACCTGAGGTGTATAGGGTAGGACTTCTCTGGAATACTGGGAGGGTAATCATTTGATATGTGCTCATTTTACCGTGATTCTTTCCTATTTACAATAAACTCGATGATTGGCATTTGACTAGACTGATGGTGATCCAAGCTTAATCCTCAGTGGAACAGGGCCTATCTGTAACCATTAGCTACCTATCAATTTTAGCCTCAAATTAATTCAAATAATTCTGAATCGGAAAGGTTACAAAACTGTGCTATGCGTGGGAGTAAAGTTCACACTCCTTGGACAACAGAGGATCTATATTTTGGCAGAGCCTGATTATCATCCTCTTCCTGTGTATCTGGTTCATTGCCTGGTCATAATGGCCTAATTTATGACTGGTCGAGCCCACGACAAGAAGAGTGAGACCAGTGTCAAAGGTTTCCATTATCAGCACAGAGGACGAGACCAAATGTTGTTCAGCAGCAGGAAAGAGTGAGAGAGATCACTGCTCATGGTGCACGATCAAAAGAAGGAAACAAATAGTCATAACAAAGGGCAATTGTTTTCGTTATTAATATGCTCAGTAACTAAAACAATTTATTACTGCTGCCCTTTGTTCTAGTCTTGTTTCCAAACATACAAAAGTAATAAAAGAAGCAAAGCACATAATGTTATGCTCAGACTCAGTAGTGATATAAACACTGTAGCGCCTGAGTTGCTCTGAGCCCTCAGCATAGAGAAAAGCGCTTTAGCCATGTGTCCATTCTGTAGGCTGATTAAAATGCAGAGGCAGTGTTCCTGTGGTTTAAAGGCTGCACGTGAGCTGGCGCAGTGAAATAGCATTCCAAGACCATTAATAAATATATGCAGACATGTATTAATAGCAGTGAGAAAACAAAACAGGTATGAATTTGAATCTCAGGACATATTTGGGCACCTATCCTATAAAAAGTGTTTAGCTCTGTAAAGTATTATGTAGTGAATCCTATGAATTACACCTTTAATGACAGCAGAAAAGCTTTGGGGAAAAAAGCAGGGGCAGTATGAACCGGGTCCAGATGTGTATGAAGCTGTAGTTGGCATGCCACATCCCCAAGGTGTGCGGTAACACCTGCAGCGCCCCGAATTCCATCTCTCCGCACGAGCAGGTATTTTCCGGCCTATTCCTTCTCAGTGAGTATCAACATCCTTGTGTCCTCGGAGATTCCCACAGCAGAAAAAAAGGCTTGTCTGACATGCGGGGATGAAATGTGCTACAGAAGCCTGACAAAAAAGAATGCACAGAAACAGAGCGTCTGACTAGGTAAGGGATGTGATGAAAGAGGCTGTTAGTCATCCCTTGTCCTTTCCCATTCCATCGCCCGGCTTTTCTCCAAGTCGGAGTCTATAACTGTATCTCCTAGATTTGAGCCAATTAGATGGCAAATCAAAACCTCTGTTGAAGTGCATTGCAGTTTGTTTAGAGTAACAAAATCAGTATGTAAAATTATTTGTAAAATTACTACATACATGCTTTCTGAACCGGGACCAGTGACTGAGTTTAGCAATTTGAACATCTCAATATAGGGACCATACCTGAACATACAGATGTAGGTTCTCATGTTGGGAGCAGACAAAATCAATTTAATAACTGCAAAGGTGAACAATCAGACTGGAACACACTAACACTTTACCCAAAGAGCTGGAGATCACCCTGGATCACACTACCCTCACTGGAAGTCTTTGTTAGCTCTCGCTGCATCAGAAGAGCCACCAGCGTCATTAAAGCGTCCACACGTCCTGGTCACTACCTGTATGACCTGTTACCCTCTCACAAGTACTACAGGACGAATAAAACACAAACCACTAGATTTAAAAACAGTTTCTTCCCAAAGCCTATATGTAAATTGAACTCTATAACCCACTCACATCCATTACTCTAATCTGCGTCTGTGACACTGCAGTGCATATAATATCCCGAACTGTATATTTACTGTATAGTTCAGACCTCAAACTGCTATAAATGGATTCACATCTTTCATACCCACATGTACCTACTGTATTGAGCTGCTACATCTTATTTCAAATAAAACCTTTTTATATTTATTGTGTTCTTGATGTGGTTGTTGTTTGCATTGATCAAGAGTAGCGCTTTTTAATCCCATTGTATGTCATGCAATGACAATAAAGGCTATTCCATTCTATTTTATGCTGTTCTATTCTAACAGCTACAGCATTCAGCCATCATATTGAATTAAGTCACAGGAAATGTTGCTTCCTTTGAGCCGTGGGAAAAGTCCGGTAGTGACTGCTGAACTAACACTTGCCACCTGCTGCCTGGTGTCCCCAAAGAGATAGGTTGTGTGAGGACATAAGTAATGAAGAGCGAGTGATAGTGCTGGCGAATGCATAATTCATGACGGCTATGGTGAGCTCACGGGTCATTAAAAGCCAGGCTAAGGGGCTGATAACATCTACAGTAACTGATACAAGTTTCTCCCTGCTGCCGAAACAATGCCCTGGCCTGTCTGCAAAGTAATAGAGTCTTTGACCATCAGGGATCAGTCAGTTAACGCCACATAACTACACTTAATTCTGCTGTCATATGCTATGTGTAGTACAAAAGCCATTCACAAGACAATGTGATGTTGTATGATGCATTTTTTTTTTACTTCTGCAGGCCTTCTTTTACATAGCAAAGCCTTTTATAGTGTCATGTTCATACTGTGCTCACCATTCTAGAGATTAATTACAGATCCTGTATCCTCACTATATAATATCCTGTATCCTAGATCCTTGTTATACCATATCCAGCGTCTTACATTCTCAGCATAGCATATCCAACATCCTACATCCTCACTATATCATATTCAGCATCACAGATTCTTTCTCTTCCATGTCCAGCGTCCTACAATCATCACAATACAGTATTCAACATCCTATATCTTCACTATACCATGTCCAGCATCCTACATCCTCATTATACATATCCAACATGCTACATCTCCACTATATCATATCCAGCATCCTACATCCTCATTATNTCCAGCATCCTACATCCTCATTATACATATCCAACATGCTACATCTCCACTATATCATATCCAGCATCCTACATCCTCATTATGCATATCCAACATGCTACATCTCCACTATATCATACCCAGCATCCTACAATCATCACCAGGGGTGCCGTAAGGGAGAGGAAAGCTAGGACGATTCCAAGGGCCCCTGAGTGACAGGGGCCCTACAAGATTAGGAAAATAACTGGATTGGTTTGGACTGGGGGGCCTAATATGATATGCTTTCATGGGGCCCAAAATCTCTAGCAACGCCCCTGATCATCACTACACAATATTCAACATCCTATATCTTCACTATACCATGTCCAGCATCCTTACCCCTCATTATACATATCCGTCATCCTACATCCTCGCTATACCATTTCAAGTATCCTGCATCCTCATTATACCCTATTCAGCATTACATCCTCAATATACCACACCCAGAAATCTATAGCCTTACTTAACTATATCTAAGAACATCTTTTTTTTTTTGTAATCAGGATTCTTAAACTTTCAGTATAATTTACCTAACATTCAATACTAATAACGTGCAGCATCGGCGTATGATTGATTGTACAATGGTTGGGCTTTAGTATACGGCTTGGTTAGTCCCATACTGTTGGCTGAGTGATATAGCAGTATGGAGGGGATGTGATGTATTGATATGGGCAGACTTAGGATAAAAGGTGCTACTAGATCCTCATTTTACATAGATACTCGCAGTATCAACAGCCAGCACAAGCTACTCAGAGCTGAGATGCTACCTTGTCTCAGGTGACAATATATTGGTGTAATTTGATGCTCAGGGGGACATTGTGGGCCTCTAATGGGCTCCCAAAGCCAAACTACCTCTGTCCTCCTGTTCACAGAGACCCTAAAGACCATGAAAGATCAGCAGAAACTCCACAGAGTTCTGAAAAAGACTGTAATTACAGGATAATGACACACATGTTTTCTCAGCCAGCTTGAAACAGATAGCATTATATTTCTGTTCAGCATCAGACCATTATGACCAAGAAGCTGATTCTGAATCCGGACCAAGACAATATCACATTTCAGGAAAGGGACAAAGAGACTGAACAGATTTACTGGGTTTCCCAGGCAGAGAAGAGTGGCGTACTGCTCTGCTAATGCTAGCCTTAAATATCTTTGATATAAAGCTTAAACATTAGTATCTTCAAGGTGTCACAAAAAATACTGTCGTCAATGTAGTGGATATTTCCGCGGCTCTAAATCCTAACCACCACAAGGTGGCAGTATGACATCACATAAACTTCTATCTTCGCAATGGACATTTTTTATACAAAAAAGCAGACTGCTTTAATGTTAAATTTTGTAGTACTAAATAAATGTACATATTTGAAATTTCCACCACATTTGATATTTTAATACATTTCACATGCTGGATCATTATTATAAAAGAAAAGTTCACCAGCGAGGTCTTTTTCTCCTGTGGACTAGATGATAGTGACCAGTGACATAGGCAGTTTTGTAAAAGACACACTGTTGGCAAAGTGTAACAATCTCCTGTGGTCTTTTATA